AATCAATCAATCAATCAATCAATCAATTTTTTTTTTTTTTTCCCCGACCCCCCACCACCCCCAGTCCCCGAACAAACTTTTTTTCGTTCTCTTTTTTGTTTACTTTGGGGGGTAGCCCCAGATATGCACCCCAACCCCCCCCCTCCTAAGATGCCCCCCCCCGGGAAAGGCCCCCGAAACGGGTCGTACGGCCCATACGACTGCTTGGGGGGCCGTACGTACCCCATATCCGTACGGGGGAACACATAGCACACAGACACACAACCCCCATAAACACACATGCACACACACACACCAACAATCATGTGCACACACACACACTTACAAACAAACACACACACAAACATATGCGAATACATACATATTCATGCAAAGACACACTCTCACACGCAAGCACACACATACACACATACTCCCACACACAGCACACCTACTCACACATAACTGGGGCCTTTGGGGTTGGGGGATATGGGGGCAGACGACGTAGAGGGTTTTCGGGTAGGTTTGGGGACTGATGCCGAAGGGTTGTTCAGTGATGGGTGGCAGGCCGGTCGATGTTGGTCGAATTCGTGGTATAAGAGGTGCTTCAGGGGTTGGGGGAATGTTTTTGTTTTGTTTTTTTTTCGGGGGGGGGGAGATTGAGTGCGCAGGTGCCTAGGGCCACGTGTTCCGGACCCGCGCATCAATTCCGTTTTCGAAAAGCGCGGGAGCGGCCCTTTTTCGTGTTTAACGGGAATTCAACGGGATTTTTTCAGTTTCAACGGGATTTGACAGGAATTTAATTCCCCCGTTCCCCATTCAAAAAACACAGGTGTTACATACAATCCACGGATGGATCTTCAAGTTGCCGTCGAGGTCGCATATAATGGGGGCCTTCAACGACGTGTGCAGTGCGCTGAAAGCGAAAGTATAGTGAGTAGCACATGGATCGTCTACAGCAAAGGGGTGCATATCATGCATTGTTAGCGGTTTTTTTTTTTTGTCATGAACTTTCAATCGTCATCAGCCCTCCACCACAATGGCGGTAATTAGTGTTTGGTCTTCCTCGTTCGTGTTCGGTCGTGCATGGCAGAAGAATCTGAAAAATTGTGTTGCGGCACTATATTGCTATGTTGAAACTCTACAGATGAAATGGGCGGTCTATTTCGTACATGTGTTTGATTGGAGTGCCGCCACAAGATCCTTTTAAATTTGTGATTGTTGTCGGTGCACTTCATATTCATTCAATGTGTTTGTGTGCATCATCATTGAAGTTTTTTTGTGACATCGGTCGTTCTGCTTTCTGCCATGCCAGTGTTCTGCCAGTGTTTAAGTAGGATGTATCAGCATCACCACGTGAGGCCAAAAAAAAAAACAAAAAAAAAACAGTGACGAATGATCAAACATAATCACAAAAGCACCTCCGAAGCATTTGTTGATGACCATCTTATCCAACTGCGAAATGTCATCTTTGACAAAAGAGTAAATCAGCCACAATGCAATCATTGCATCTCAACGAAAGACATTTGAATGATGCGCTGAAGAACATAGAACAAGCAAGGAACATAATCCACGCATGCACATAGAAGAGTGACACGAAGAACATAAAGAAAGTAGAACAATTAACTCTTCATGAAAAAGCAATGCAGACAGCAGCACGCTTTTGTCATCATCGACGTTGACAAAACATATTCCAAAAGCACAAGAGGGAGCACCGACCCCACCAAAAATCTTAAACCCCCAAAACACACACACACACACACACACACACACACACACACACACACACACACACACACACACACACACACACCGCGTAGCGCAGATGCCATGCTGCCGAAACCCAAAATGGACATTGTAACGTCATATGCGATGCTATGCTTGCCGGTGATAAGCAACCGGACTGCTGCCCCCCAAAATAGATGGGGCCTTTTGTTTGTAAAAAAAAAAAAAAAAAAAAAAAACTGCGAAAGTCTACCACATTTCGATTATGGCATGATCGCCACAACTGCGCACGCTCAACAACACCCGCTGCATCATATGTGTCGACGTGCGAGGAACGACGGTGCTCCAAACGCGGACAGACCGTACTACCACGGACGCGACAAAGCATCATGTGTATCATGCATTCCGCCAAGGCATTGCGCAACTCGTACACCTCGTCCATCGACGTCCTCATGATCACTGGTTGCAGGGGACGAAGAATGTCGAGGTCCACTTGGCGCCGCACTTCGTCGGGGTCGACTTCGCATAGAAGATTGTCATCGAACTCGATGCCAGCGTTGAGAACAATGTTGTGTAGAATGCAGACAACCATGAACTGTTGCTGCAAAGTGTCTAGGTTCGTGTTGTGCGTCCGTAGGAACTGCCTCCAAATCCCCTTCAACCTCCCGAACGCCCTCTCCATAACCCCTCTGGCAACCTTTTGTTTATTGTTGAACAATGTCTTATCAGGATGCTGGTCGATCCCCCCATACAGCACCACCACCCATTACGAACAAGGATACCCGTTGTCGGCCAAGATGGATCCATTCGTCCTCACCCCACCCGACAGCACAACAGGCGGCCCGCGAAACAGCAACCCACAATGCAATCATTGCATCTCAACGAAAGACATTTGAACGATGTGATGAAGAACATAGAACAAGCAAGGAACATAATCCACGCATGCACAGAGAAGAGCGACAATGAAAACATAAAGAAAGGGGAACAATTGACTCTCCATGAAAAAGCACTCCGGAGAGGAGCGTGCTTTTGTGATCATCGACGTTGACAAAACATATTCCAAAAACACAAGAGGGAGCGCCGACCTCGCCGAAAATCTGAAACCCCCAAAACACACACACACACACACACACACACACACACACACACACACACACACACACACATGTAGCGCAGACGCCATGTTACCGAAACCTGAAATGAACATTGCGATGTCATATGTGGTGAAACCGCGAAAGCCTACCACATGATTGCGATTATGGTATGATGGCCACGACCGCACACAATCGACAACACCCGCCGTGTCATACGTGTCGACGCGTGGGGAGCCGCGGTGCTCCAAACGCGGACGGACCATACTACCACGTCACCAGGCGGGGCAATGCATCATATGTGCCTCATACGCTCCTCCAAGGCATTGCGCAACTCCTACACCTCGTCCATCGATGTCGTCTTGACCACTGGTTGCGGGGGACGAAGAATGTTGAGGTCCACTCGACGCCGCACTTCGTTGGCGACGATTTGCCACAACAGATTGTTGTCGAACTTGATGCCAGCATAAAAAAAAATGTTGCGTAGAATGCAGACAGCCATGAACTGCTGCGGCAAAGTGTCCAGGTTCCTCTTGTGCATCCGTAGGAACAACCTCCACATGGACCACATCCCCTTCAGCCTCCGGAGCGCCCTCTCCACCGCCCCTCTCGCAACCTTTTGTTTATTGTCGAACAATGCCTCGTCAGGATGCTGATCGATCCCTCCATACGGCACCACCACCCATTCCGAAGATGGATACCCTTTGACGGCCAGGATGGATCCATTCGTTCTCACCCCACTCGGCAGGACAACAAGCAGCCAGCAAAACAACAACCCCTCTTTTGGGCGCCTCCACAAAATTAAGAGTTGGATGACCCTGATGTCGTGGCAGCTCCCTGGATATCTGACGAACACATCCAGCACATGCAAATCGAGGTCGACCACCACCTTTGCAATGATAGAGAACCGATGTGTGCGATTGAAATAGTTCTCGCTGAGGGCGTTCACTAGTTTGTCTTCGTAAATGTGTGTGCACTCCATTGCTCCATGGCAGTTGGGGAAGCCTATGTCAATGAAAGCTCGGAGCACCACTTATTTTCGCCCCCCCGAGCCACGATATTTTGTGGCCGTACACCCTTAACAGAGCGACTGTAACATCATGAACGGGGACGAGTCCAGATGCTCTGCCGATATCAAAAGACAAAGTGCTGTTGTCGTACGTTTTGCCTGATGCCCACCGCTACAACGAGTACGCAACGATCTGCTCGGGCTGAAGTGGCTCCCTGCACAAACATCCTCTACCGCCGCTTCAAAATCGTGGCCTTCATGCGCCCTGCCGCTCTCACAACCTAACTGTGGATTACCACAGCCATCACAACCGCCACAATAGTTGTCTTCTCAGTGGACGTCAACACTACACGACCATGTACACAACAACCCTCAATCGCCCTCCCAAACACAACAACGGAGCTCCAAAAGAATGCCCGTCGTCTTCACCTCCGCGACCATAACCGGAGGGGTGTACACTGCGAGTATCCGCAGCCCTGAAGACAGGAGGAGAACTTCACCAACAAATGTCTCCGCTGACAACCGTTGTCATTCGACCCTGCCACGCGCCTTCAAGTAGCGACCCCTCGCAACATGTCCCTCTTCGCTTGTCACAACCTCCACTACAAGCCATCCAAGAGCGTCGGCAAATTAAAGTGCGAGAGAAGATGGTGAACCCAATCGGGAGTCTCGAAGACTACCCTCACCACACTGCCCCTTCGATGACCCGCACTTCCGCCACCTTGACATTGCCCACGCGCCACCATTTCAAATTTCTAATTTCTGATTTTAAACGGGGATGTTCCCACATTCTTTTTTTTTTCGGGACCCTCACGTCTTCGTGCCATTCGCTTTCTGGACCGCCACGCCTCATGGGAGGACACTTGCAGTCAGAAGACGAACAAACCCCGCGCGGCCGCGTAGCAGGAGGGCCCCGAGGATCCATCCTCGGAGCAATTCCCTGAAAACAGGTGGAAGGAAGCATCCAAAAATCGCAATTTCCGCCAACGATTTATCCTCGGACCCCAAGGACGGCCTGAGGAGTGTCTAACGCGGCCCTATTTGCCTGGAAAATCCTCGGAGCCGAATGATTTGTCCTCAGAGTGTTTTCACGTTTTCATTTCGAATTTCATCTCTGAAGACAAGTGTAACGACGACAAAGGGCCTCGTTAGACCCTCCTTAGAAATCTGATTTTTAGAAAATCGGCATCGTTACACTGCGTCCTAATTTACCAAATTCCTTGAATGAATGTGAAAACGCTCCCGAGAGATTTCCTTGGATTTCTCAGGATCCCCAGCCAAAATGTCCTTGGATTCAAGGGGTCCTCGCGAGGTCCCTTGGGTTCAAGGAAACGCAATTGACCCAGTGTTCTGGAGCGAGCGCCGACAAGAAAATTTGGAGTCGATGTTGGTGCACAAGTCGTCCGTGGTCCATTGGGTGGACATCGTCGGCCTCCAGTACTCGACGGACCCCCAACGACCTTCCACCGTTACCGTTGGCGTGGAAACGCGTGGGGGTGGTACTTCAACTGCAAGGCGCTTCACAAAGCAAGGTTTTCCATGCGTGCATCGCCGACCGTGGTGTCCAACGGTCAAATTTTTTTATTTTTCTACAAGCGATGTTGAAGCACTGTCGGTCGATTGCAGGCATTTGCCTAGCGTGTGTTATCGGCTATTGTCGGGCGCATTGATGCATGCTTTGTTTGGTACACGCCTCTCATGCTGCGAGTCATGGCAGACGTCCTCCGACGGTTCCCGCTCGTGCTGCTGGTCACTCTTCTCATGCTCCTTGTTGTGTTGTTTCATGTGTGCGTCGCTGTGCGGGGTCCTGGAAGCAAACAGAAACGACGAACGACGAGGAAAGACGACGATGGACAGGTCGGAAACCTCCAACATACAGTCGACAGGCGCCATTGACTACTCCACTCCGCAGCTTCTCCTTGTAGTAGCCCTCCATCGCGTCGTCAACCTGTCGGAGATCCTCCCATGTCCCTCCCGTCCTACTCATCCACCATCTCGACGTCACCCGTGGGATCACACCAGATGCCATGGCGCAACAGAATTGCACAATGGATTCCGATAATGACACAATCGGGTGCATCCATCACTTGTTGCATCAGCTGCCTCTGCCTACGAACAGACAATCTCATCCTCAGGCGAGTTGTCGTTCTCTTAATGCGATAACGCATGGGGGCGACTGACACAACTGTGACCACTGTGTTTCTCTCCAATGCCGTTAATGCCTTCGCACCACCCGGGAGCTCTCGTTCCATCGTCATGACTTGCAATGCACAAGCACCCACCACTCGTTCGCCCGCCGGCGCCCTCGGTGCACCTTCTGCACGTCGATGGGGACCGCGCTCGCTCTCCACGTTTCACAAAAATGTTACGTTCACGCTGAGTTATGACGGCCCGAAGAGCATGCGGTAAACGAAGGCGACGTAGCAGTAGAGAACCGTTACTCATACATGCTACGTCCCCCATCGTTCCAATGCCCTCCTTTTAAGCCATGGCCGCCATCACTCCTCCGCACAGACGTTTCACCCCAGTCTCAAGTCCAGCCGCCAAGACGCCTCATGCACGGATGTGTCACAACGGAGGGTTCAAAATTTGAAATTGGAACGGGGATGTTGGCGCCCTTTTTTTTCATCAGCCCTGTAGGCCTCCCCACCACCGCCACTGGACCACGGCCGAGGACGCACGGGCATCCCAGCACGATGATGGACATCCACCCCCGCGGCCGCGTGTATGCGTATGAAATGGCGGCTGGAGACCTCCAAGGGTTTTCCTTGAAACCCATTGAATTAGGATGCGGTGTAACGACGACGCCGAAAACCAAAAAAAAATCCAAGGACTTCATCCTAATTCCTGAGGATTTTCCAAGGAGGGTCTAAGGAGGCCCAAAATCCTTCAGATTCCGTCCTCGAGGAGTGTCTAGCAATGCCCTTTATATAGGAAGGCAAAGAGAAAACTTCAGAAAACCAAAAAAAAAAAGTTGAAAAACAAAATAGAAAAAAGAACTTCTTGGACACATTCTGCATATCCCATGTGGTCTTCAAAAGTGCCTCTAAATAATTAAAAAAAAAACAAAAAAAAGAAAGAAAGTGCAATAAATGTTCCAAGTCTTTCTCGTGCTCTTAGTCCGCCCCCCCTACCAGCAGGCAACCCCTTCTCTCTGCCCCCCTTTCCTGCCCACCCAATAAAAAGGGGGTACTGATAGCTTTTACCACAGGTGGTGGCTTTTTTTAGACTGTTACTTGTCCAGCTGCTCAACAACAAGCCCAGGCCTCTCACAAACACACCCATCCCTATTCCCATTATACCTATCCCCGTGCCTATTCCCATTCCCGTGCTATTCCCATTTCCATTCCTCTTCCCATTCCCATTCCCGTTCCTCTTCCCATACCCATTATACCTAATCTTCATACCTATTCCCATTCCGTTTCCATTTCTCTTCCCATCCCCATTCCCATTCCCATTCCCATTATACTTATCTCCACCCCTATTCCCATCCCCATGCCATTCTCGTTCCCATCCCTGTTCCCATTCCCATTCCCATTCCCATACCTATTCCCGTTTCCATTTTACCTATCTCCGTCCCTATTCCCATTCCCGTTCTCTTCCCCTTTCCATTCCTCTTCCCATACCTATTCCCATGCCTATTTCCATTCCCATTCCTATTTTCATCCTTGTCCCCTTGCTCTTCCCGTTTGCATCCCTATTCCCATTCCAAACATCCCGTTTACTAGCCCTCTATCCTGTGCCTTTACTAGTCCTCTATCCCTTACCGATTCCCGCATCCATTATTGATCAATCATCTTGGAGTCGGTCACGGGGAAAAAAAAAACAAAAAAAAACGGACACAGCTCAGTTGGTACACCCACGAACTGCTGAAATGCAGACCCATGTTCCAATCGAGAGACAATCAGATGACGAGACCGACGGATTGCACAAAACACGAACTAAGTCTTTTGAATTTTTGAGGGGGGGGATGGAAAAACACACGAGCTTAGGATAAATGTAAACGAAGATACATGGGAAAAAAAAAAAAAAAAAAAAAAAAAAAAAAAAAAAAAAAAAAAAAAAAAAAAAAAAAAAAAAAAAAAAAAAAACATTGACGAATGCATGGCCCGGAGAGCCAGCTGGCTACCCGCTGGCTATGACACAATGATGGCCATGGCGGGCACGCACAACAGCATCTATAGCTCACTAAAGACGGAGTTACTTCAGGGCAAACTATAGACTCGAACACCCAGCGGCTAAGCTAATCCTGTACATAGCACGCATTTGATTCGTCGTCGGCTATACTCCCTCCTATAACAGAGTCAGTTGATCACGATTGGCTATTGGCTATATTCTCTTCGATAACAGCAGCCACTCGATGGTGATTGGCTATCACGATTGGATATACTCTCCCATAGCAGCCAGTTGATCTCCTTTGGCTGTACTCCCAACCACAGCAGCAGCCAGTTGGTCGGCTTGGCTACGGACTATAGCCTCTCTGATAGCAGCCAGTTGATCGCCTTTCGCTATACCTCCTCACATAGCTGCAGCCAGTTGTTCGGCTTGGCTATTGGCTATACACTGTCCCATAACAGCCCGTTGATCGTCTTTGTCGGTTGTCTACACTCTCTCCCACAGCAGCAGCTTAGTCGAATCGTCTCTCTCTCTCTCTCTCTCTCTCTCTCTCTCTCTCTCTCTCTCTCTCTCTCTCTCTCTCTCTCTCTGTGTGTGCCTCAGCAGACCGATTCCTTCCTTAACCAATAGCCAAAAGCCAAGACGATCGGATTGGCGGATCGTCTTCGGCTATCGGCTATAGTCTCACACCGCGGGCGTCACGTGCTGTTGATCGGATTTTGCTTTACTTCCCACACCAGGACCTGCGGTAGTTGATGACCCCCTACTACGGTGGGGTTATTGTATGTATAGTCTTTGGCTGAGGAGGGGTTATTGTAGGTATAGTCTCTGGCTTAGGTGGGGTTATTGTAGGCATAGTCCTTGGCTATACCCTTAGGATCAGTGCTTACTTCTCAGCAACCTGGTTTGCGCGTGAGGGAAATGGATCCGGTCGTTGGTGACGGTGGTGGAGGAATTACGGGCAGCCAGTGCGGTCTGATCGCTGGAAGACCCCGTAGGACCGATCAATGCGTGAATATAGACAGGTCACATCCCATGCACTCTGCCCGTGGCAACCTGGTGGGCATACTCGCACGTGATGGGACTTCTTACGCTGACATCTGGAAGTAACCCACGCTAGATGGATCCAGGAAAGGCCGCAATTGCAGTCAGATACATCCAGGAAAGTCCTCCTGTGACTATGCTGTGAATCTGAGACTGAAAGACCACATTACCCCGATAAATTACATGCTTAATCTAACGACAGCTAGCCGATTAAACTGAAAAAAAAAAAAAAAGATAGAAAATCAGAGGATTCGAGACGTGGCTTGGACCATCTTCAACCAAGAATGCGCTTCGACGACACTTAGTCCTGACAACTCGTCACATGCGCGAAAAAGCCCAATCTCTCTCTCTCTCTCTCTCTCTCTCTCTCTCTCTCTCTCTCTCTCTCTCTCTCTCTCTCTTGTGTGTGTGTGTGTGTGTAAGTGTGCGTGTTGTCGTGTTCCCTATACACAACTCCACAATTTGTGTGTTTCCCTCTTCATTGTCGTGAAGCATGACCATGCAATCTCAACACCATCCACTCCACGCAAGACTCTCTCTCTCTCTCTCTCTCTCTCTCTCTCTCTCTCTCTCTCTCTCTCTCTCTCTCTCTCTCTCTCTCTCCCCTGTGTGTGTGTGTGTGCGTGTGCGTGATGTCATGTTCGCTATACACACCTCCACAATTTGTGTGCGTTTGCCTCTTCAGTGTTATGAAATATGACCATGCAATCTCAACACCATCCACTCCACGCAAGAGTCTCTCTCTCTCTCTCTCTCTCTCTCTCTCTCTCTCTCTCTCTCTCTC